TTTGTCCTGCTCTTCGCAGGCGATGGGCAACGGGCACGCTTGCGCAGCATGGGCCCTGATCTCGGCGGGTGCGGAGCAAGACGTCCGGGATGCAAAAGAGCAGACGCCCCTCTTGCTCGGATACCTCTCTGCAATGATTCTACAGGGTCTAGGAACGGAATCTTTAACTGCTCATGCCCTGACAATGAAATCGACTAAGCAGGCCCTCTTTCTGAGAGGTTCAGGGGCGGCTAGAATGGAGCCATGATGATCTGTTGTGTACCTGCTGCGCTCGTCTGTTCCGAACTTAGGGTATGTGTAGGTATGGCATTGCGTTATGATGTCCTTGAAAGCCAGGATGCTCGGGAGCGTTGGGCGTTCCTAGACAGAAACCCTTATGGCAACGACGCATGAACTGGCAGGAACCCATGGAAACTCCAGACCCTAAAACCACTTGGTACCATGTACCTTGCCTCTTGAGGACTCTTGCGCCAGCGCGTGTACCCCGAGAACGAGGCTGTGGCGAGGCGGGCCTCGAAGCTTTCGAAGTCGACCTCCCCAGTAGAACAGAGACCGTCAAAAGTGGGAGCAATCGTTCAACCATATTTCCCCCTGAACTCCAAAAGAAACAGTGGGCTCTTAAAGCTCAGCTTCCACAAGATAAACTGCATCACTTCGGGCAGGTGCGTCTCCATTTTGTCACAGAGGTTGGGCCTGAAGGACGGGCATCATGTCAAGATACCAACATCTCTGGATCGGCTCAGCTGAAGAGCAGAGCGCTCAGGAAGAGGAGTGGAGTCTTGCTCCGTACGGCATCTGTAGCCATGGCCACAGGAGCTGCAGGACGCCAAGAAGCAGTTCAGCCAGGTGGTCAAAAAACGCCTGAAGAACAGCTCGGAGCTCGTCAGTGCGTTTACGGCTCAGTTGCTCTGTTGCTCCGCCGTGACTGTGTTGCAGATGGGTTGAGTGATGTTCTTGCAATCGGCAGCTGAGGGCCTACGACGACAATGTGCAGAAGGTCGTCGAGCACCTGCGCACGTGGGCGAACCCCAACAGTGCCACGGACGATGGGAAGCACGCGCTCCACCGAGCACTGGCTCAAGGCCACATTGCCGTGGCCAGGCAGCTGCTGACCTACAAGGCCGACATCTGGGGGAAAGTTTCAGGAACTTGGCAGCGCCGTGTTTTTTGGTGGTCCTTTTCATATCTAGATTGGAGTTCTCCATTTGGGTCCCAGCCCCATAAGGCCGACATCTGGTTGGAGGAGAACAACAAGAGCGCATTGGACGTCGCCCTGGAAGTTGCAGCAGAGAAGCCCGGATCTCTCGAGGTCCTGGTCGACCTTCATGAGCAGTACCAGGCCTGGGCACACTTGCCTGTTTTTGGGAAGCTCGTCTCTTGCTCTAGACTATATTCCCAGAGGTAGGGCTCTAGGTGGAGAAGGGGGGGAGGGAGTGAAGATGCTCATTTCAACGGCCACATGTAATATGCCGCTCGCTGCTGCAGAACTACAAGAGCGATGCCGGTCGCGGCCTCAGCTGCAATGGTCTCCCAGCTGGATCCCAAATTTTGGTGAAGCAGGTCACGGCTTGACAAGCATCGAATCTTAATGGAACACACGCCTGATCCGCTGCGTCCAATGCAAAGCACACGTGTGGTGAGCAGATCAGCGGCGTTCGCTAGCAAAGATTCTTTAGACACGGCTGGAGTGCATGGGATGCTTCATGGTGTCGTTCGCAGTGTCTGAGCCTCAGGCTTGACGTTCCTGATGTTGGCGGTGAAGCATGGCAATGCCGACCACATCAAGCAGCTCCTCGACAAAGGCATGGAGAAGGCAGATTTTTTGCAGATGGCCCAGGGTCTAATTCCCACCGGATCCTTACCATCTCCCGGCACACACTGCAACCAGGAAGCCAGATGCGTCGATGGCCCGGGCCCTTGCAGGGATCCGGGATAAGGGAGGCCGTGCAATCCCAACTGCAGCAAGGACGTGTCGGGGAGAGCATATTCGGTAAATGTGCTGCTGTCTGCTTCATTTGGGCAAAGGCTGCCGAGGGCACCGGCACATGCCAAGAGTTGATTCCGTGTTTTGAGTCGAAGCTGACCCCCATCCGAGCCCAAGGCAGCACGGCGTTGATGCTTGCGGCCAGGGAGGGTAAGACGGCGTCTCTGAAAGAGCTCCTGGATGGGGGCGCCGACAAGGCTCGGAACCTGAAGGAGCGTGCCGTAGAGCAGAGCGGCATGGCAATCCGGTTCGCATAGGACTGCCAAGACAGCGAGGGCCTGGGCCTTGTGCCACGCTGCATTGAGCCGTGCCGTCTGTCGCAGTAATCCAGCGCAATTAAAAAGCTCGCAGGAAAGCCCATCGCACTGCTAGGCCACACCGCGCTGATGCTCGCCATGCAGGGCGGCCACGAGGAGTCCTTCAAAATGCTCCTTGACGCGGGCGCAAAGAGGGTGACCTGGCACAGATGGTGAGAGATGGTCCAGCCGCATGTTCTGAAGATGCCAAGTGGTTCTGAACCAAATCAATGGCGCCTTTCTTTCGGCCCTTGTGAGGGTTTGGCAGCCTCCACCCCGTGACACATCATGGCATGCCCCAGGGCCTGAAAAGCAGCGCTGGCCGGGGCCTCGAAGTGGTGATTCCGACGGCGTCTCCATCTCAAAGCCCATCAACATGCCTTGCCTGTGAAAATTCAAGCTAGCACTGTCACGGCACTGCTCGGACACATCTCTTGCCAAAGTTGAACTGAGCCAGACAAGAGGGATGTCGTGTTTGTTGGAGGTAAAACGGTGTTGGAGCTGTCCGCCGACAACGCGAAATTCCAGGCACTTCTTGGCCGCCGGAGCCTTGCTGAATTGAGTTGTTGACAAGTCGAAATTATCGTTTAGATAGCCTTCATCCGTCATTGACATCGCACACCAGCAGCCACCAACAAGTACGCGAGATGCATTGTTGTGTCGTGCTTCCATATATATATATATATACACACACACACTCACCAAGAAGTAGGCGAGTATGCATTGTTGTGTCGTGCTTCCATATACACACACACACACACACACCAAGGCCTGGGCGAGTATGCATTGTTGTTTCATGCTTCCAAGATGCGTGAGTTCAGTCATATACCGGTGGGTGCATGTAGTCCGCGTGATCCGGCAGTTCCATGTGTCGAGGTTTGCCTGTAGCTGGCACACCTGCGTCGGTGGATTGTGTGCGTTGCTGCATGGGGCTTTGTGTGCCTGAGGTCCGACAGCCCTCATGGAGGCGGCAAGGGACGGCCACACCTTGCGCGTCAAAGAGCTCTTGGAGAAGGGAGCCGAGGAGGTGAGGGAGCTGGAGGGCAATGGAGTTGTTGGGTTTGTGTCACATCCTTAGTCCGATGAGTCGTCGCTGCCGAGGATTAATGTGACTGTGGAGGCACCTACTGCGATAGTCACGAGTTCAGGGAGGTCCGATTTCAGTGTTTTGGTCACTATACGGAAGGTGTCCGGACGGTTTTGCATTTAGTTCCGAATCTTCGCTGCACCCCTGCCCAGGACATCCAAGACGAGGATGGTCACGGCCTCGGCTGGCCAAAAGTTTGGGCGCTGCGAGCGTAGAGAAAGTAAAGTGTCAGGCAAGACTGCCCTCGTGTGGGCGGCACAGACTGGCCATGCGGAGATCGCCAAAGAGTTGCTGGATCGCGGGGCGCAGAAGGCGGGCGAGACAAGGAAGACTCAGGGCTGCTCTTCCTCGAGGTCAGGGTGCGACGCAGGGTTCTGGATTTTAGAAGCTGCTGCATGGGAATCAAACAGAAGCACTGCTGGCTCCGCAAGACGTAACACGTAGTCGACTTGGCGATGTCAGCGAACTCCTAGATCGAATGCAGTGCCTTTGAGCACGTACTGTACATTGTCAGTTGCTTGTGTTGCTTTTGTCCACTTGGTGGACTTTTTAATATTCCGGAAGGGCGGATGTAATGCTGCGGATAGCGCTGGCACTGCGCGAAGACTTTGTAGTGCATTGTTTCGTTGTTGAGCGCGCATTGTTTCCTTCGTACAAGTTGCACAAGACATGTTGGCAACTTCGACGTTGCGAAGGAGACTTGAAATGTTGCTAGAAACACCTTCAGAAGGCGATGATTTGCAAGTATCCCATCGCACACTCGCAATGAAGCTCTCTGGGTGGGTCACTCTTGCATGTTGGGCCCTTCGGTGTTAGGATGTCACGGACAGCTTCGGCCATGGCCTTGGCAAGAGATTGGCTCGTCGGCATTTGGGCGCTGTTTCTTTCTGGCAGCAAGGCAACACCGCCCTGATGCATGCAGCACGGAATGGTCAAGCGGACTGTTTGGCCGTCCTCTTGGTTGCCCGGGCGGACAAGGCGGGGGAGAGAGAGAGAGAGAGA